CCATCGGCACCGAGGGTGCAAGCCTGCGCCATCTGACCCAGCGCCGGCGCGACCGCGAAGTCGGAAAGCCGCACACTTGCCGGGGGGACGTCGACGACCGCGGCGGCGCCAGCCGCGTAGTGCTTCCACCCGTCGCGGAGGCCCGCGTTCGAGGGGTCGCACTCGTCGACGAACCCGTAGAAGTCGGACGTGATGCCCGCGAAGAGCTCCACGCTCGTCGCCGATACGCCGACCACCACGCGCTCGTGCAGGAGCCGCGGCAGCGACTCCGCCAGCGAGCGGCACCTGGAGCACAGGGGCTTCGTCGGGAGCCAGGATGAGCTCCGCCTCGAAGGGCGGACGGGCCGCCGCCGCTAGGCGCGCTGCGTGCGCGAAGGGCAGCAGCGACCGCCGCGCGAGGAGGACTGTGAAGAGGTTGCTGCGAAGCCGGAGACCGAGTACACCGTGCATGCACCGAGGGAGGGCCTCCCCCTCCAGAAAAAGGAACTTGAGCAAACATGGAAGCGGAGCAGCCGCGACGGCCTGCAGTAACTCGTAGATGGAATGCGCAATCGCTGCCATCATAATCGTAGAGCCTCACCATCACCACCACCGTCATCAAAATCGTCATCATGATCATCACCACCACCATCATCCTCATCCTCATCATCATCGGCAGCAGCATCATCATCACGATCATAAGTATCATCAACATAATCGTAAGCATCAACATCATCATCAGCATCCTGATCATCATCACCGCCGACACCGATCACATCCTCATTATCATCATCCTCCCCCTCCTCCACATCATCATCGTCATGGTAAGCAGCATCATCATCAGCATCATCATTAGTAGAAGCATAATCATCATCAGCAGCCGCATCATCATCGTCATCGTCAACACCGCCGTCCTAATCACCATCAGCATCATCGTCACCATCCTCGGTATCATCCTCATCATCATCATGATCGTCGATATCAGCAGCAGCAGCAGCAGCACAGTCGGCGTCATCGTGGTCGTCATCCTCCTCCTCCTCCTAATCATTATCATCGCCATGACAATCGTCATCAGCACCAGTATCATTATCACCATCATCACCACCATCATCAGCATCGTCATCACAGTCGACGCCGTCGTCATAGTCACCATCATCGGCATCATGACCATCGCCAGCAGCATCATCACCATCACCCTCATCAAAAGTATCATCATAGACAGCATCATCATAATCATCGTCAGCATCATTACCATCCCCATCATACCCATAGTCATCATCATCATCATCATCATCATCATCATCATCATCATCATCATCATCAACGTCATCATCCTCATCAGCAGCAACATCAACATCATCAGCATCATCATCATCCTCATCATCATCATCATCATCATCATCATCATCATCATTACCATCACAAACATCATCATCATCATCATCAGCATCATCATCGTCATCGTCATCGCCATCGTCATCATCATCGACATCATCATCATCATCATCACCAGCAGCATCAGTATCATCATCATCATCAGCAGCATCATCATCATCAACGTCATCATCCTCATCAGCAGCAACATCAACATCATCAGCATCATCACCATCACGGCTCTCCCAAGCCAGCAGAGACGAGGTGTCGCACGTGAGGGCTTCCCGTGCTCACTCGAGCAATCGCCTCCCAGAATGCTTGGCTGACACGGTGGAGGGACATACCGCCGGCAGCTAAATAACCTCCCCCATCCCCACCGTATCCGCGTATCCTCCGTGTCCTCTGTCTTCTTGTCCTTCGCCCCCTTCGTGATTTCCCCAATCAACCTGTTCCTCCTTCTCCAACTCACTCTCCCTCCTCCACCGTTTTCCCGTTCGTTCTCCCGTTCTCTTCTCCTCCTCCTCATCCTCATCCTTCCGTCCTCATCCATTCCATTCCATTCCATTCCTCCTCCTCCTCCTCCTTCTCCTCCTCCTCAGAATTGTCCACGTGACTATCGGAGGTGAGGGGGTGAGATCGAAGTGAAACGGAGAGCCCCCCTACCGGGAAATCGATTTCGGTTTCGTGTTCGTGCGTGCCGTGCGTGCGGGCGAGGCGAAGCTGCGTGGGCGGGCGAGAGGAAAGTCTCCTGTGGCTGAGGCGCGGCCGGACCAAATGATTCTCCACCGGGCGGCCGGTGGCGCGCGGTGTCCCGCCGGTGTCCCGGTGGTGTCCTCTGTGGCTGAGGCGCGGCCGGACCAAATGATTCTCCACCGGGCGGCCGGTGGCGCGCGGTGTCCCGCCGGTGTCCCGCCGGTGTCCCGTCGGTGTCCCGTCGGTGTCCCGATCATGATGTTGATGATGATGATGATGATGATGCTGCTGATGATGATGATGATGATGATGATGATGATGATGATGGTGATGATGATGATGGTAATGATGATGATGTTGATGATGGCGATGATGATGATGATGACCTTGATAAAGTTGATGTTGATGATGATGATGATGATGATGATGATGATGACGTCGATTGCGAGATCGAATGTGAGATCGATTGCGAGATCGATTGTGATATCGATAGTGAGATCGATTGCGAGATCGATTGTGAGATCGATAGTGAGATCGATAGTGAGACCGAATGTGAGACCGAATGTGAGACCGAATGTGAGACCGAACGTGAGACCGATAGCGAGATCGATTGAGTGAGACGTTGGTTCCCCCTCCCCCCTCACCTCCTTATCACCCGCAGGGTGGTCGTATAGGTAGCTTTTCATCGGCACCCTTCATCTACACATCCACCTCAACCGCCAACCCTAAGTTATTCCTCCTCCACCTTCTCGTCCTCCTCCCCCTTCTCCGCATCCACCCACCCCCCACCACCACCCCTCGGCGTTCGCTGCGTGTCTTCTCCGTGATCACCTGCACCCTACACTTCCCCAGCCCCCTCCCCACATTCCCTCATCCACCCACCCACCCGCCAGCTCCCCAGGCCACCTCCTCCCCCGCCTCCTGCTCCTCCCGATGCTGCTGCTCCCCATGCCCCCGGGGAGTGGCGTCTGCCAGAGTCTGCCGCCTGCGGCGGGGACCTGCTGCGCGGGAAGCGCGAAAGCGGACACCGACATTGCTGGCAGGCGAGGGCGGTCGAGCGGAAGGGTCCCTGCACCAGCACCGAAAATCTGCTCGTTCAGATTGAGCCGCACACGAACATCGAACGTGGTAAAAATGCAAGCATCTAGCGTCCATCCGTGGGCGAACTGTGCAAGAAACGTGAGATGAACGTTCAAAAACCTCAGCCCGTGTGCGTTTGGCCCCCCTACCCCGGCCAAAAAAAACAACCGCAACTAACCCACAAGGCGTATGTCTTGTTAGGCCCGGGCTGGGATGCCAATTGCTTGCAAGCCCCCGGACGCGGTCCCACTCATCGGGTTTCGAAGCCAAGTGGTACTATGCGGTTCTGTCAGCCACATGTACAACAAGGTGATAGTTTGGTGCATGGTTGACACCTGAAGCCTCGAAAGCCCCGAGGAGGACACGAGCAAGCCCCATCCTGCGATCGCGGGGCGGTTGCGCGACAACTTACTTCATCTCCTTACTGGTTTGTAGACACTGCGACATTGAATAGCTAGCCAACACGAATTCTGCTGACAATGGAACCTACCCGCCAGAGTCCCGTAGTATCTTGAAGTATGCAAGCTCCAACACATTCGACCTCACCAGCCTTGGCCTTCAAGAGCAACACATGGTGCCAAATATTGACTGCTGTGCTATCGCCAGAACCCCAACATCCCAAAAACTCAGCGTCGATATACGCCGATCCCATCGTATAGTTGATTGGGACCCCCTAGGCCTCAAATCAACGACCAACCTCCGAAAACGTAGCTCCCTCTGTTGCTCTACATTCCTGACACCTCCCCACGGATTCCCATATATTAAATGTCAAAGCGTGCTGCCCGTCAATTTAAACAACAGAGGCCGTACCGCAACGTCTGAAGCAACTACACTGCGAGGGCGCCCGCAGGACAACCTGACAGCGCCAAGTTGAACCAGTGGCATGCATGCATGATGGGGCCGATGATCGCTTGTCCCTGATACCTGGCTCTCCAACATTCTTTTCGAACAGCAAATCGCTGATTATTAATCGGGCCAGTATCGGAGAATCCAATGGATGGTGCAAGTCCGTCCCCTGGTTTCAACAGAACCCCGGCAACGACGACGACGCGGGTCACGATCATGCCAATCATCTTTTTGCCTTACAGCTATGAGAAGCTCCCCCACACTAACCACATATGCTCCTCGGTCCCTATGTGCGCAACATTCTCGCATGTACGGCACGATGCTTAGTTTTCCCCTTTTCGTTTCGCCCAGGGGAGGTTATCACGGCTTAAACCTGAACTCATCGAATGGATCTCGCATTATAGTACAGACCAGTACTCGCAAGGAAGAGACTTGCCCCCAAATGTCATTCCGAGTGTCTTACTGTGCTCTGCCTAATCCCCTTCGATCTGGCCACCACCACTTGAGATGCCGATAGCGTTCGAGAAATCCTTCTGGGGGCGCAAGTCTGTCTGCTTTCAAGGGCACGGTTGGCGGAGCGCGGGGGTCCGCCAAAGGTGGGGGGATTCGGGAGGGAGGGGAGGAGGATAATGAAATTCAGACGGGAAGGACAACGGGTCGCACTTGACATACTCCGAGCCGTCGTGCCGACTGTCTAGGGGGCAACCTCGCGAAATCGCTTCACTCATCCACACAATGGCTTGCAATGCTTGCCATACCGAACATCATCCCTCACATTCGAGGCACTTAGGGTGAAAGACAGAATGCGAAATCGATCAGAACATGATTTGAAATGATTCGTTTGAACAACTATTCACCATTGAGGTAATGCCTTCCAAGACATCAAATCATGCCTCCTGGGAAACCTTCCCGGAAACCTTGCCACTCCTGGAAGCTTTCTGGAACATAGTGTTATTTCTCGAGAAGAAAAATTGCCTCTGAGAAATATGCACGAACACCTTCTGAGAAATGTCCTCTCCTGGAGGTATCCCGGGGAATCGCTGGGGAAATCTCCCGGGCCTTGCCCGCAAGAAATCGCACGGGAAAGCCACAACGAGACACCATGACAGATTTCGGCAGGATTCTCCCAGCGACGACGAGACGCCACACGGGGTGGGCGCTGCCGCGATCTGAGTATCGCTTGACCGATCCCCATCCCAGCAGCGTTGCCTGGGCCCCACTGGCCGATTTACCCCCCTAGATAGGGATGTAGGTCGTTCCCTTCGGGGTTCGAGGGGTGTATCCCCAACTGGGGTGGTAATTTGGTGGGGGTCTAGAAGGGGATATGGGACGGGGATGGGGATCGGTTAAACGAAGCAGACGATCGAAACCTCGTGAGCACCAGCTTCCTTCCAGCCAGTGTACGCCGTGTCCCGGCGCACGGCGTTCTGAGAGAGCTGGCGGCGCGACCCGCATGCGGACGCGGCTGGGGAGGGGAGGAGAGGACCGCTGGCAAGCCCCACTGGGGCCTATGCACCAGCGTTCGGTGGCAACTCGTGGGAGCCTCCGATACCATCTTGTCGGCTCTCGCGGACCGACGCTAATCGACGCTACATCGACGCTAACCGACGCTAAGTCTACGCAACATCTACGCTAAATCGGAGCCATCAGATATCACATCGACTCCCGACACTAATCGACGCTAGTCGACCCTGAAGACGGAATTATGAGGGTACACAAGGCTCCCATGATTTGCTACCGAACCAGCGTGGCCGCAGACGGAAATCCTCCGATCCCGAAGCACAAGCACTTCAGGCCCGCTGGCCCGCTGCATTCACAAGCACCGCCAGCGCGGCCCGTGTCCGAGCGATCGGCGCCGGAAACCGCGCCATGCTCTTCATCTCATCGAAATCCCGCTTCTTGGTATTTCCCAGTACCTCGCAGGCCTCCATGTATGCAGCAATGGCAGTTGCCTTCTGCTCGGAGGAGCCCAGCGGTGTAAGGACGCCATCCGATGCCTCAACTTCGCTATCAATTCGAGCTCCGAGCGGTGTGCTACTCAGCCCATTGCGGTGGCACCACTCCTCGAGAGTAGTGTAACCAACGTTCGTTTCTCCATCTGCGGCAGAATCTCCATCGGCCTTCCCCCCGTACAGCTCCGCCATCTCAACATCCATCGCCTTCAATACCTGGTAGACTGCCTTCACCCAAACGCAAATCGCGTGCGCACCGGAGCTGCATCGTTTCAGATTCTCGTCGCCAACGTCGGGATTCTCAATAAAGTCGCTCTTCAAAACCTCGCACACTTTCTGCCGCCGCTCTACCACACTCGGAGTCTTCAGAATTTTCAAGTGGTACTCCCTGAAACACACCATGATAACAGACTCTTGCGATCCACCACTGAAGAAGGCGTCATCAAACCAGTCATCTTCACCCATACTTCCTGTCCTGAAAGTAACGCCACCACTTCCAGAGCTCCACTTCTTTTCTTATGACCTAAGCACGCGTGAGAAAGCCCTTGGCAAGAGTCGTGCACAGCACGGGGGATCGATGCCCGATGCAGGGAGAAACCAGGACGTCGACGGTGGTGGCACTCGTCCCGAATGAGCGAAACCTGGACCGAGGTCCGAAACGTTTGAGCCGAGTCGGCTACGTCCTAGCATGCCCGTTCTGGAGACACCGTGGGGAAGTCGGGAATTGAACAACTCGAGGCATGACGCCGAAATCCCTGCGCAATTTCTTGGGGCAACATACGCGCAGTCCATCGCCGAAGAGCCTGACCGATACCCTCACAATGCCACCATGGAGCAGAATCTCTCACATGAGAAGAGTCACCCAAACGCAATCGGATCACTCCTCCGCATAGTGATCTTCCACATCTACTGTCGCTGCGCCTGAGCTCATCCCTCGGGTGGCGAAGGTGGCCGGTCCCCGTGCAGCCGAGCGAGCCACCGCGATGGGAGGGCTGGGGAGACGGATGCTGCCGACCACACGCAGTGGAGGTGATGCTCCTCTTGTCTCTCCCTATCCCATCCTTCGGCGGCGAGCGAGGGGGGGGAGTGAGAAGGAGAAGGCCTTCTCGGAAGGCGGCGGGGCTGCTTAGGTGCCATCGCGCCTTCTGAGAAGCTTTCTGCGTCTCTGGGGGAGGCTCAGGAAACGTCTCGGAAGGCCGGGAGGCTTCGGAGCCTTCTCAGAATCGGGAGCGGCCAAGAGGGGGGTGCCCAAGAGGGGGGGGTGCAAATCATGACCGGCGGCATGTGCGCGGCCCAGCGGGGGGGGGCCAGGAGGAAATAAGAAGAGGCGCCATGAAATCTGGGGAAATATCACGACCCCCGCCCTGAGATCCACCCCCCCCCCTAGTCATCACCTCCGCCCCCGAGAGAAGGCCTGCTCCCTCTCAACTCCCCCCCCGGGCGCGCCGCCGAAGCCTCTCCTCGGGCGCAGGCCCGCCGTGGCAGGCGCGGGCTGCCTGCGAGGAGCGCCGGCCAGAGCGCAGGGAGGAAGCGGCGCCCTTTGGCGGCTTCTCCCCTGAGCTTCAGTCGGGCCTGTCCCTCTACAGGAAGGGAATTCGAAAAAAGTCCAAAAATAGTCAGGGGACGATGTTATTAGCATTTTTGTTTTTCTACAATTTGGGGGTATGTTTTCACTATGTTTATTTTTCGTCCAAAATCCCCCTGTGGGGGGACACGCCCAACCTCACCCTGGGCGCGCTTTTCCGGAGGCCGCGCGGCGACGCCGGCGGGCCTGGCGCGTGAGGTCTGGAGCGCCTGCGGGGCCAACTCGTGGCGCGCCCGGGGGACCGTGGGCCGTGTTGGCCGCACGCCCCTGGCACTTCAACCAACCGCCCGCGCAGACGCTGCGCGACGCTGGGGCAGGCCCCGCTGGACTCTGGCGCGTCCTGCCCCGTCGCTCCCGCGGCGCTCGGCCCTCCTCTGGTTGCGCTGCCGCCCCGTCCCGCTCCTCGTGATCCTCGGGTTGCTCCTGACCCTTCTGGTTCCTCCTCGTCTTCCAGCTCCAGCTCAGACTCCCTGCCTCTGGTCGTGCTGGTCTGGCTCTCAACATCCGTCGCCACTTCCCACACTCCTTCTCTTTCTGGATATCCGTCTCTCACCGGTTATTCATCCACCTCTTCCTCCTCTGTTGACGAGGCAGCGGCAGGGTAGAGGTCGGAAGTGATAGGGGTTAGAGGAGTCGAAGAGGAGGGAAGGGAGTCAGGGTGAAGCCTGTCCAACTCAAGTCCAAACTTTTCGTAGACATTGGAGGCGTGCTGTTGCCTGCAAGGAACGTCGCCCCTTGACAACGGGCCCTTGATGAGGAAGATCGGTCAACTGGGCGGCTTCTTTTCCTCTAACCGTGGCCGCTTGAATTGCAAGGGCCGCATGGGACCTTGGGGTGTGGTCTCAATCGGTTTAACACGCACCTGGCCTGGCCTTGCTTGGTCGGAGACTGGGGGATGAAACCGAAGCGGAACGGAGAGCCTCCACGGGGAAGTCGGTCTCGATTCGGGCACTTGCCGTGCGTGCGGGCGAGGCGAAGCTGGAGCCCAGGGCGCCCTGGAGGCGAGGAGGAGAGAGGAGGAGGATGAGGAGGAGGAGGAGGAGGAGGAGCAGGAGGAGGAGGAGCAGGACGAGGAGGAGGAGGAGGAGGAGGAGGAGGAGGAGGAGAGGAATGACTCCGCTGTGGCTTGGGCGGGTCAAGACAACATGCCGCCCCTCCTGGCGTGCCAGCGTGGCCCCCGGGGCGTCCCGCCGCTGTGCCCCCCGCCGTGGTGTCCCGCCGGTGCCCCGCCGCGGTGTCCTGTCGGTGTCCCGTCGGTGTCCCGTCGGTGTGTCGGTCGGCGTCCCGTCTGTATCCCGTCGGTGTTCCGTCGGTGACCCGTCGCCACCATCATCGCAGTTGTTCCCAGTTGGCTCCTTCTCCCCCCGACCTCCTCATCACCCGAAGGGTGGTCGCAAGGCATGCTTCGTGCCGCGTCCCCCGCCCACGAGCGAGCCGGGGGAAGGGAGGGAGAGGGGGGGGGCAGGAGAGGAAGAGAACGTATGGGAACCTGGGGAGGGGGAGAAGAGGGAGGAAGAGAACGTAGGAGGAGAGGAGGAGGAGGAGAGGGAGGGAGAGGGGGGGCGGGAGGAGAGGGAGGGAGAGGGGGGGGGAAGGAGGATGGGAGGGTACGAGGAAGAGAACGTTTGAGAACCTGTCGCGCCAGCAGACACTTCTCGTGGGGGGGGGGCCCGGGCGCTTCGACTGAGACCCCCCACCACCGCTCACGACAGTGGGGCGTGACATCTCGAACAGTGACACGGGTGGAGGGCGAAGCGCTTCCAAAAGTGGGCTCCCGCCCCGGCGCCGCGCACACCCCGCCTTCAACAACTTCGACAACTGCGTGGACGTATCGCGGGTGGTCTTCAGAGTATGGCTCTCGCCCTGGCGCCGTGCACTCCAGTCTTAAACACCTCCTACGTTTACAGAATTGGAGGGGTCACATGTTCAAAACAAGTCTCTGGCCTTGGCGCCGCACACACTCGCCTCACAACAAACCAATACCTTACAATGATGAAGGGCGGCTCCTTTTTTAAACGGGTATCCCGACTGACCTCCCACCACCCTGTGCTACCCCCTGCTTGTATTCCATGTCTATATACATATGTATGTAAATCGCATGCACGAGTACCTTTACACCGACAGAGGGTGGCCATATCTTCATATGAGATAGCTGCGAAGCCATTGCTTTTCAGTAGTCCCGCATCTGCAAGAATGGAGGGCGGCTTCTTTTCGAAGCGGGGCTGCCGATAAGAGCACCACTAAACTGTATGACCCCACATTGTCGCATGAGTTGTGCTCCGGATCACGTGCGCAACGTCTTTCAAAGACGAACTCCCATCTGAATTGCGGGCCCCTGGCGCGCTCGTTTTTCACGGGGACCGCTTCGCGCAATGAAAAATAACGAGTGGTGACGCATATTCAAAAGGTAACTCCTTACGTTCCCCTGGTTCCATTCTTGTTTTGAATAGAGCAGTGGGGTCTCCAACTGCTCCTTTTCCTCCTCGCCCCCGCCTCCGCTTTCCTTTCGGCTCTCGCCTCTCGCATCCTCCTTGGGGGGGGGCTGCGGAATGTGAAGCTCTCGCGACGTTCCAGGGCTGCTGGGGGAGCCAGCACAATGTCGCCCCACCTCCTCCACCTCTTTTCCGCCCCTGTCCTTCTATCCCGCCCTCGCCCTCGCGCGGGCCGCGGCCTGCCCGCGGGGTCTGAGAGGCAGCTCCTCTATGCAGCCCGATGCGCTTTGAGCGCGCTCTCGCGCCAAAGCGTCCTCGGCAACGGCCGCGGCGCATCTCCCCGCGACGCCTGGCCGGGGCGAATCGGCGACGCAGGACTTGAGAAAGCACGGGCCCACTGGCCATGTAAATCAGCATCACACATCGGCAAAATTACAAACAAAGAGAAACACGCTCTTCATGGGAGGCGGGAGCTCGGTGAGAAGGCCTTTCTTCTGCGCCGCGCCCCCGCTGCCAGCGGCCGCCGCGCTGGCTGGCTCGGCGGCGGCAGCGGCAGCGGGCTCCGCCTTGCCAGGCGCGGTCGGCGCCTCCTTGGAGACTGAGCCGAGCCCGGGCGCATCCTCGAACTTCTGGGCGAGAGAGGCGAGGGGCGTCGCCAGTGGGAACCCCGGGCGCCCAGTCGCGCACGTGCGAGCGGATTGCTTGGCATCGTCGGTCACGCCGGCGTCTCGCAGCACGGCCGCCCCCCATAAGCTTCGCGACTTGGCTCCGCTTGTCCTCGAGGTTGGGCAGCTTGCCCCTGGCGTCGCGCTGTTCGAGCTCGCCAGGGGAAGCCCAGCCGACGGCGTCGCCGCGCAGAGGTCCTCGACGATGCGCTCCGACATCGCGAAGCTCACAACGAACGACTCGGTCTTCTGGAACTCGACCTCGCGCGCCGGCCCAGGGGTACACTCGCCAGCCAGCGCTTCTCGTCGGAGGCCCACGTCTCGAGACCCCAGAGGTTCTCGCAGCCTTGCCTGTTCTTCGCGAACATCGCGTCGATGTGCGCCGTGTCCAAGTTCGACAGGATCATCGCGGTGCCCGCCTGCCACTCCTTGATCAGGGCACCCCTCCACGCCTTCATCTCGGGCTTCTGTTTGACGACGTCGCGCAGGCCATCGTGCAAACGAAGGCTCCTGCCCTGGGAGACCTGCTCGTAGCACTGGCGGATAGTCACGCAGGCCTTCGCTGAGTCCACCAGCGATGTCACCGAGGGCGGGGGGCAAGACTCCAGCGCCTGCATGGCCGCCAAGAATGCCGCATCCACCTTGCAGCACTTCCCACTGCCAACGATCTCCTGGCAAATCACGCCCGTGGGGGCCTGCGCGGAGTACGACGACAAGGCCTCGGAGAGTTCCTGGAAGGATGTGGCTTTGGCGCCCCTCACTTTGGACGCGCACGTTAAAGACCCCTCTTTGATCCAGATATCGCTCCACATGGTGGCCACAGACGCGCTGTCCTCGTAGCTGCTGCGGGACTTCACGTCCGCGACGTCAACCATGATCTGACTGCGCTGCTGCGCCACCATGATGACGGCCCTGTCGGCTGCCCCGAGATGAAGGAACAGCAAGTACGTCGCGACCCCAGCGGCGAGCTGGAAGGGGTCGGCCCCATGCTGATCAATGCCCTCCGCGCAACACGCAGGAAAGGAAAGGGGGGGCCTCGCGGCCCATTCGATTGCCAGCGCCATAGGGCCTCGCGACCGCTTGGATAGCAAATTGCCACAGGGCCTCGCGACCGCTTAGATTTCAACGGGCCCTCGCGACCGATCACATTGCCACGGGCCCTCGCAAGCGCTCAGATCGCCACAGGGCCTCGCGACCGTTTAGATTGTCACAAAGATGGGGGGAGGGGCGCGGGGCGGTTCTCCGGCCGCGAAACAAATCACTAGGGCAGCGTTCTCCGGCCGCAAAACATACAAACCATTAGGGCGTTTCGGGCTCGGTTCCCACGGCGGTTTCCATTGCCGCCACCCTGCGGGGGCGGCATTAATGCGACGTTGCTTAACGGGAGGCCTGCGAGAAGCTTTAAGCGACGTTGCTAACGGGAGGCCTCGTCGGCCCCAGGAGACCCCGCGAACGCGAGTACCCGCTGGAAGTGTCCTCGATTGTCCTCCTTCCTCCTTCTCCTCTGCCTCCCCCCCCCCCCCCCTTTCATCCCGCCTGCCCCTCATCGCCGTCCTCCAGATGTCTGCCCCTCCTCCCCCCCCCCTCCTACACCTCTTTCCCTGTCGTCATTCCTCATCCTCCTCGCCCAGATCCTGTTTGCCCGAGTCCTCCTCGCCCTCATCCTCCCCCTATCCCCCCTCCTCACCGATCCCCCCCTCTACCCCCCCTCCATCCTCCCCCTCATCGCCCCCCCCATCCCCCCTTATCTTCGTCGCCATTCTCCTCCAAAAAAAGATAGCGCGGCGCGTCCTTCTTGCAGCTGCCTCCCCACCCCTCCATTCGCGCACTCCTGAGGGGCCTTCAACTTCGGACAAGCGCGACCAGTTGTTGGTCATGATGTCGCTCGCGCACTCCGTAAAAGTTTGCGCGGTGGGAAAGCGCCGCCGCAGCGGCGTCGCAAGTCGTCGCGATGAGCTCGCCGCGCAACTTCAGCAGCTCGGCGTTCTCCTCGCCGATCTTGCCCCCGTCGTCGTCGAGCGTGTCCACGTGCTCCGCGAACTCGCGGGCGTCGTCGCCTTTGCTCTCAGCGGCCTTCACGAGCGAAGCGCACAGTAGCTCCGCGGCGGCCTCGCTAACCATCGCCGCGAGGGTCTCATTCTTCTCAGACACGGACTGCTTCGAGGACTCCTCAACGGGGAGTGCGAGCGGCCCGATCTCCGACCCGACTTCTCGTCTAGGGACGCGGCCCCAGGCAGCCGCGGCGCAGCCGCCCGCCCCCCCCCCCCTGGCTGGCCACGATGAGACAGCGAAGCCCGTTGCTCAACATGTGCTCGTGCGACTCCATTTTGACAGCTTGCACTCGCAGATCCCGTGGGAGCCTTTCCGACGGCTCAAGCCTCAGGACCGCGCCGAACAGGCGCATCGAGTCGAGGTCGACAAGCACCTGAGGCAGCCACCCAGTGGACGGGCCCACGATAGGAACCTGGACGTCCAAGCTGCCCCAGCCAACGTCGCCTATCAAGCTGTCGAATTTGAGCAACAGGTTGGAGAAACCTGCCTCGGACATCCGCTTCCAAGACTTCTCCATGAAGCTGGCGATCAGGTTCGTCTGCGCAGTGGCCGTCGTCCGTCGACGCCATCTGGGGCAGTGGGCGCACCGACCGAGAAGCTTGCATGCCCGCGTCCATCGCCACCGTGAGGGCGGCGACCGTGCCGCCAATGCCCAGCGACATCAGGTTGATCGATGAGGTGCTCAGCATGTTCGCCTGCACGGCGTTGCCTGCATTCGTCAGGGCGGCTAGGGTATCGCTGGGATTCTCGATTGTCTTCATGGGCGAGTCCCTCAGCTCCTGCATCAACTTGCGTTTCTCCTCGAGCTTCGCACCCATGCCGAAGAGGAGCTCGGATGCCTCAGACGAGCCAGCCTCGCCAGCAACAGCAGCCACCTTCGAAGCTTCGGCCGACAATATCGCGGGCATGTTCTCGAAGTCGCGGGTCCAAAACTTCATGTTCCAGAGGGCCCCCGTCGAGTAAGTCGCCTCGGTCTCTTCGAGCAGCGAGCGACCCGAGTCGACGGTGCTCGCGGCCGAGCTCGCCGCGGCGCCGCGACGGCCCCCCTTCTTCGGGGGCTCGGGGGTCGCCGACGATGGAGCTGGCGTCGACGTGGGCGGGGTGCCCTGAGTCTGAGGCGTCGAACGGGTCTTCGAAGCAGAGAAGGAAGACGTTGCTGTCCCGCCGCTGCCCATGTCACAGCGGCCATTGAAAGACGACGCAAGGCTCGCATTGTCGCCCTCCGATCCCACCGCGGACGCAGCGCCAGCGGCGGCGACGGCGAACGACCATCTTCTACATCGACGTCCTGCTCGCGCAGCTCGGCCGAGTCGCCCCCTGCCCCTGCAAAGCCCTCCGCCTCAATGTTCTCGGCGCGGCGATCCCTGGCACCATCTGCGCCGGCGTGCTCCCCGACCTCGTCGCGCACGGCGGCGCGCGTCGCCCCGCGCCTGAACATGTAGGACGCCCCGCGGGGCATCTCAGTCACAAACACCCCGAGATCGCCCGTCTCCCCAATACCGACCTCGCACCCCATCTTCTCCTCGACGTGGTGAATGAGCGAGTCCTGATCTGGAAGGCGGAGATTGCGGTCCTTGGCAAGCTGCAGAAGTCCATGAAAGCGGCCCTCCTCGAACGCGTCAGTGTAAGTATCTTGCTGCCTGGCGGTCTCGAGCTTCGCGTTGACGCTCTCGGACTCCTGCGTCGCGCTGGTTCCTGTCGCGCGGCCCTTTCGAAGACGGCGCGCGCGCGGGCGGGCATGGCCGCCCGCTCTCGCGCGCGCGGGTGGCTCTGCATTGGCCACTGTACAAAGCACTCGCGAGAACCAATGTCAATTTGGAAATCCAACTGGTCACCGTTACGTGTTCACTGTATATAGTTCCCAAGCCCAAATGGTGACTTTTCGATTGTGGATAGCCCAGAACTCTCCACACGCGCGGCGCGCGCGCGGGAGGGTGGCTCTGCATTTTCCAATGAGCAAGGCATGCACCCAAATTAATGTTCACTTGGAAGTCCAATCGGCCCCCGTTAAAGGCTCACTTTTGTTCCCAAACCAACGCGGCGACTTTTCGATTATGGACAACACAGAACTCACCACGCGCGCGGCGCGCGCGCGCGGCTGGCCATGGTCACCCGCGCGCGGAGTTGCCCCGCCCGCGCGCGGGTCAACCGAAATCCGCTCGGTCACCGTTAAAGGTCCACCGTAGTTTCCAAGCTACTCCAGATTTCGTAATAAAAGGAAGGGGGTCTCATTTCGGGGGGGGTCTCTTCCGGGCTATCTTGGAGGGCCTGGGGGGGTCTGGGGACGATGTTTTGGAGGGTTCCCCCACGGGGGAGGTCTGAAATGGCTTGTCTTGGAGGGTCCAGACCCCCTCCCTTTTATTGCGAAATCTGGAGTAACATGGCGACCCTGCGATTGCGGAAACCAAATGAATCGCACGTGACCTTCAAAATCCAATCGGCCACTGCTAAGGGTTCAGTTTAGTTCCCAAGTCGACGTGGCGACTTTTCGACTGTGGAAAATACACAACTCACCACGCGCGCGGCGCGCGAACGCGGGTGACCATGGAAAACCGCTCTCTCGCGCAGGTGGGTGGTTCTTTTCTGTATTGCCCATTGTGCAAAACACTCGCCAAAGCAAATGTTAACTTGAAAATCGAATCGGTCACCGTTGAGTGTGGCCAACATGGCGACTCTTCGTTTGTGGACAATGTGTGGACAATGCAGAACTCACCACGCGCGCGGCGCGCGCGCGCGTGTGACCATGGTCACCCGCGCACGGCGGGTGACCCGCGCGAGCGCGCGGGTGCCCCTTAATGGTGAAACAAAAGCGAAGAACCAACACGAGTTATTTGCAAATCGATTGCAGGCTCAACAGATTTTTGCGTGGGGTGGATGCAGGGCGGCGGTCGGCAGCGAGGTACTTGAATGTGCCCACTGATGCCCTTGCAGACGGAGCCCCAGCCCCGCGTCATAGCCAGGAACCCGATGCTCAAGGCAGGGTCTCACCGAGCCCAGACCCCAGCTCAGCCACGCAGTCGATGGGCCTGGCGGCAATACGAAACCAATGTTTTAGAGGCCTGGTGCCAGAGTGCACTCCAGAATGAAATTCATGTTCGGCCTGCGGGATGAACACGTACGGCTCTGGACTTCGCGCGCTTGATATTGACCCACCCGACGACGACTGAGCGAAAGACGGGTTTGTTACTGTATGAAGAAATACTCTGAAGCACAGTCTGGATCTCATCGAACAGCTCTTCAATGGCATGACGCGCCATGAAATGTGAGATCATTTGCGACGATTCCTGCTCTTGCTAAGCCCGCAGTTGGCCGTGCACCATGTCGGCGCCGTGAGGATGGTGTCAGTACAAGTCTGCGTGAATGTCTGTCTCTCTGTCTCTCTCTCTCTCTCTCTCTCTCTCTCTCTCTCTCTCTCTCTCTCTATATATATATCCCGCCCTGCAAAACGTATAAACTTGATGATGCTGACATGGCCGATTCGAGGCAAACCGATTTGAGCCAACGTTGAGTACGTGGTTGGATGGAGGAGGCAGGAGACGAGAGCGAGGACAACCAAAGGAGCGTTAAGGTGACAGATGAGGAGGGGCACGACAGGAGGAGGACGAGGCCAAATCTCACGTGCCCTGGGCTGCGAACACCCACATGCCGCTGCCCTGGGCTGAGGACACCCGGCGGCAGCCGCGAGCCAAAACCAAAATACAATTACATCCGCGGGCCCCTCCGAGGGGCAGGTGAGGCCAGGGAAGGCCCGCGAGGACGGGGGGAGGGGGGGAGGAAACGGAGGAACGAGGAGCAGGAGGGCGAGGAGCAGGAGCCGGAGGAGGAGCGCGCGTGGCTTCGGATGCGCTCCGCGGCCTTCGGAGGTCCACTCCGTGCGGAGGCCTTCGACAAGCTGCCCTGAGAGGGAGGAGGACGAGAAGGAGAAGGCGGACGAGGACGAGGAGGAGGAGGACGAGGAGGACGAGGACGAGGAGGAGGAGGAGGACGAGGAGGACGAGGAGGAGGACGAGGACCAGCAGCAGCCAGAGCGCCTCCCAGGCGCCGGGCGGGGCCGCCAGGCAAGGGGCTCACGCCGGCGAGCTGCGGCACGGGGGAGGGGCGCCAGGGTCTCCACTGGCGCGCCCCGCCCGCCCGTGGTGGTGGTTTCGGGTTCGGCGTCGACGGTCGACGGATTCCACCGTCGGATCAAGCTCGAGGATTTTTGGGCGCCCGAGATGGGTACGGAAAGAATGGGGCATCATGCCCAACATCAAATGTTGTCCCAAACCAACGGCGGCCGCTGTTGGGCAGGCGGCCTTCCGTCTCGAATGGGCACAGGCCGCGGCGGCGTGGACAGCGAGTCCTGCTCAAAATGAACAAGATCCACCTTTGGGCATTGTACCCATTCTTTCCGTGCCCATTTCGTTCGTGCAGAGAAGAGGACGACGAGAAGGATCGACGTCAGGGAGGAGGGCCCTGGTGGAAAAGGGTCCTGGCCACGAGGGCCTTCCCCAGGACTGGTTTTCCACATTCCCCAAACAGCGCTTGCCGGTGGACAACCACAGGAGAAAAATGTGCTGTTGGGGGAAAAAGCAGTCCTGGGACATGTGCTGGTTTGGGGGGAACGCCGTGGTTTCTAGCAATGTGGCAAACAGCGCTTCCCACATTCCCAAACACTGGTTCCCACATTAGGGGTCCTTCCTTTCGGGGGCGGCAAAGAGGGGGGTGTCCAAGAGGGGGGGTGCAAATCATGACCGGCGGCATGTGCGCGGCCCTGGGGGGGCCAGGGACGTAATGAAATAAGAAGAGGCGCCATGACATCTGGGGAAATATCATGGCCCCCGCGATGACATCCACCCCCCCCCCTAGTCATCACCCCCCTCTTTTCCGTCCCCGATCCTTCTCTTCCAAGGTGCCGGGGCCGCGGTGCCGCTGCGGCCCGGCACTGTGGCCGCCAGTCGCCGCCCGCCCCATGGCCGGCTCGTCGCCACCCGTGGCCGCGTGGCAGTCGCAGTGCTCCGGCATCACGCGGCACGGCGTGGCATCGCTGTGGACTGCTGCCGCCTGCTCTGTGTGGCTTCGCGCTGCTTTGCACTAGTTTGCACTGCGTCCTTGTACTGCGTTGCATGGGTTTGCACTGCGCTGCAGTACTATTCACTGTGTTGCATGACTTTGCTTTGATTCGCACTGCTTTCCACTGCATTGGAAGGAATCACTGGTTGGGACCCACACTGGTTAACATTTGTTTGACGATCCTGGGGCAAGGGCCCTGGGAGCCCAACAACGACGAAGGACAAACCCCTCTTCTCCAGGACTCCTGGAACAACAACGAGTGGTACGCACATAAAATGTCACGGTCTGCGCGGGTTCTGAGGTCGGTGCCAGGAGATGGGCAGCCACATGTAACCCCCACCCCCACAAGCCAGATCACTGATAACCGGCTGGGGCTCAGAACTTGAAGGCTGTCTGCGGCCAAGTCAGAACCAGCAGGGGCGTCCGATACCCAAGCGTCGATTCGACCCGTCCGGGTCGGATTCGCAAGTGGCGGCGCAAGGGGAGGTGCCAGAGGCGCCGCCAGAGGGGCCCGCTCGAGGTCCTGGAGTGCGCTCAAAGAGCGGGGGTCATCGCTGCGACCCACCGCCGGTGCGCCTGGGCGGCGGCCGCATCTACACCACGAGGCCTCCGCGGGCCATACAGAAACCACGACCGAACGTTTCTGAAGCCCCTGGGGGCCCTGTCGGGAACGTCGACGAACGGCACGGGATTGAAGACCGCGCCCTGCAGAGTGGGTCTCGAATAGGTGGCGGCATCAGAACCCTACACCCACCAACCATCGACTCTCCTGAGTCGATGGGAGACTGGGGTATGGTTCGGATGTCGCCACGTTCTCTAGGAAGGCACCAACTATACACCAACACCGATCCTGGCCAGGATCGGTGTTGGTGTATAGTTGGTGTAGTTGGTGCCCTCCGAGTTCTCGGCGAACTCCGAACCCTGACCCGGCCGCCCATTGGGGAACCAAGAGCTACCGGTACCGCTGCTCCGCGGACCTCTCCCGGGGTGCGTTCTGGCTAAGGTTTCGAAGCGAATCCAGCGGTGGCGACGAGGGCCTCCCACAAGGCCCAGAAACGGGAAAACGAGGGAAGGGTAGGATTAAGTCGGGCGTGTCTCTCTGCAGGGGGATTTTGGACGAAGAACAAAAATAGCCAAACATACTCCCGAATCGCCCAGAAATGCTCAAAAAATCGTCCCCCGACTATTTTTTGATTATTTTTGAATATTCCTCCCGTAGGGGGACAAACCCGACTTAAGTGTAGCGGCATCGGCATTGGCATTTCTTTCACCTCTGACCCATCGCGCTGCCTGAAGCATGGAACGGCGAGGGTAAGGCTCGGGTTTTGCCGCCGGTCGACACATCCTGGGTGCGAAATGAAGGTCGGATATGTCCTCCTGCGAGCGGATTTTGGGCGACTGCTTGTTTTTGACACACAATCCAACACGATCCAAAAGTAATCAAAAGAGTAATAGAACATCGCCCCCAGACTTCTCCCCTGTAGGGGGGGCAGCGGTGACGCGACGACGACGGCTGACAGGGGGGTATGTCGGCCCCCACCCAAGCTTCGTGGGGTTCTCGCATGGACCCAAGCCTAGGACACATGACAGGGGGGGCGTCCATCCTCGATGCGGGGGGGGGCGTCCGAATGGCCCCCTCGGGGTCAATCCCAAGGTTTCCCTCCGTGGCTGCGCTGCCTCATGCCTCGTCGAAGCGTCGGGGTTCTGAGAGCGAAACATCGCCGGCGAGCGGTGGCGGCGGCCACGGCGAAAGCGGCCCCCGGGTGGCCGAAGCTGAAGCAAACGCTCGAAGATTCACAAGTCAATCCGTCGGATGCCTTTGTCACGAAGGGCAAGAGGAGGAAGAGGGCGAGGCGGACGAGGAGGCGGAGGAGGAAGAGGAGAAGGGAGGTGGAAGAGGATGATCAAATAATATCAGATAAGAGACGCTTGAGACCCCTGTCTGTCTGCCCTTGCACTACCTGCACAAAAGAGAAGCGCACCTGACAAAACGCTGCTCGGATCAGCGTGAAGCCTGCATGCGAACTCTCCTGTCGACCGCCCCGCCGAGCGGATTGCCTCAGGCCTAGTCCTCGGACATCGTGTGGGAACGCCTGGAGGCCGAGGCTGGGCACCATCGCGCTGCGCGCCGAGGCATCACGCGAGAGACGAGTGATCTCGCATGAAAGATGCATAACATAAAACTTACAATCTGGTTAAATGCCTGGGTTCAGAGATATCTTCTGGTGGCTGAGTGGCAGGCTCTACTCTGATGTCCGCATCATGACTCCCTCTATGCATGACAGGGTCAGAGACTGCAGCAACTGAGGTATGCACATCATGCAAAGACATACTGCGCACGTGCGCAGAGCGAGAGGCCAAGTCGATGAGGGGGAGCTCAAGCCTGAAGGGAGGAGAGTAGAAAACATTGAATCTCTGCCCTGCGGCAGAGACAAAGCACAATATGGGTTGCTTTGATCTCTGTTGCAGCGACTGTTGGCCCTCATGCCTCAAAAGGTGATCACTGGCCATCTGTCGCATGCGTTCGGGTCCTGCTATAGAAGCCAACGTAGCTACTTGTCCTCCTCCTCGTCTGATTCCTCAATTACTTCGTCGTCGTTCTTCTTCATGCCGATTTTGCTGAGAAGCCGCTCTGCCTCCCTCTCGAGGCCTCCCTTGGGACCCCCCGCTCGAAACTTGCCTCCCGCGGCCTGGAGACTGTCGCGCGCTGCCTGATGCAACGCGCCCACTGGCTGGCCATCCCATGTGATCAATGCCGTCTGCAGCTGCGCGGGCAGCATGATCTGAACCTTGAACTTGGTGGGCTTCTTGACCTGCTTCTTTTTGTAGTAGGCCGGGCGGATCCGGCAGTGCCGAACCTGGCCCTGGAGACTCTGCAGGCTGCACTTGTCCCCTGTGATGTTGGCTTCCCAGTAGACCTGGAGCGCCTCCATTGCCTTCTGGGGGGTCTTGTCGTGCTGCAGCAGGACCGTAAGGAGAGCCAGCCACATGCGCGGCCGCGGTGGGCCCAGGTCGTGGTCCTTGCCGATCTCCTTGCATTTCGTCGCATACTGCTGGCCCGCGGCTTGCATTTCGGTGACAGCTGCGGAGTCTGCGGGGATGAGAAAACAGCTGAAGCAGGCGCCAATGAGGTCTGCAACGTCGCGGCTGTTGGAGATGGCCAGGCGCGTCAGCACCACCGCCAGTGCCTTGAGCGGTCCGAGGTTCTTCTTGTTCATGACCTGCTCGGTCTGCTGCTTGGGGTCGGCCACCCTGAGCTTCTTGTCTCCTCCCATGTCCGCTGTGATCGATCCTCGAGAGGCCGCTGTGCGCTTGAGACCCCGCGATGGCACCTGCGCCTGCCAGGGCGGCGCTGCTGCTGCTGCACTGGCTGCTGCGCCTGTGGGCGCTGGCGCCTGCGAGCCGGCTGCCGCGGCTGCAGCCGCCGCCATTCTGGCCGTGAGCGATGGGGGGCGAGGTAAATTGCGCTCGAACATGTCGATGGAATTCGACTCGTTCGAGCCCAGATTGGCTTCGCAGTCGACAGACATGACTCTGTGAATTATCACTGTCGGCCCTGCGGAACGAATATGCCCCCCCCTGTGCGCGCCCCAATTCTGAACGAATCCGCCGCGTGCTTGCGCGCCAAATTCCTGGATTAAAACCCTTGCTCACATGCGAAGCATTGGTTTGAAAGGGCGCGCGTGCCCAGTGTGATGATGAGACCATGATGCCGATGTAGATGGCTGATGCGTTGCCGCTGCTTGCGAATATTTTGCCACGGCCACAAATGCGGCAATGTAATTAATCATCATCAGGTTGCCCTGGTTCATGTTTATAATGCTGTTCGTGCTGGGATGAGGCCCGGCATCCAGGGGGGGGGGGGGCGTTCGCTGTCCTGGAAACAGCTCGAAGCAGCGCTAGATCAAGTCTGCCGAACCAATCAGACAAGTCCGAGTCGTCGAACAGTTGGAGCGGTCGACGACCCAATTTCTCGGTCATGTCAGAGCGTTCCCCCCCCCCCCCGGACTGACTGACGCCGGCCACGTCATCAACGAACCTATGGGCCCACGGGGGCGCCTGAGGAGTAAGATGCCCATGTTCATCTACAACGCGCACTCCTCTTTCTCCCCCGATACGAACAGCAAAGAAGAGAGCGCCCCGGTCTGCAGCCTG